AGAGGGGTATTATGGTAATTTTGTTTCGGGAAAAAACGGGGTCGGGGACGGGCCGGGGCCGGGGCTGTGACTATGATCCCTGTCCCCGGCCCAAAACTGATCGGGAATTTAATTTCAAATCCCATTCCCAGCCCGTCGGGGATATTTTTCAGGAAAATTGCTCTTATCAGGAACGGGGGGTCGGGTCCCTGTCGGGCTGGTTTAAATGTTCATCCCTAGAAATGGCCACGTAATATAGTAAATTAGTTTAGGGTATTTTAGTCGATTCAATTTATTTTGGGAAATTTGCAACCCAGAAAAGCCAAATTATGTCCTCGTCTCGAAAAAAATAAGTTGGGACTAAAAAAATACAAAAAATAAAAAGTTAAATAAATCAATAAAATAAAATATCATATCTAAATCATAATTATTTCACTTTTTTTCTAAAAAAAATGTCAAAAAAATTAAAAAATTGTTCCCAAACAAAATTTATTTTGCCTAGTTAAATTAATAAAAAAAAAAACTAAAAAATCAAATTAAAAAAAATTCTTCCCAAACACGAAAGTGGCCAACCAACCTCCTTTTGTACTTTTTAAAGGCCTAAAAAGCCCCAACAAAAAACAATCTACAAGCTTTTGTTCAATCTCATCTTGGATCACCTTTGTATACACCATCAAAATTATGTGTATAGAACAATGAGTTTGTTGTTCTTTTCGCCTCCGTTTGGGAAGTGGGTTGGTTTTTTAATTTTTTGACTTTTTTGATTATATGAGCCTGGGCTCAAAAGTTTGATTTGGGAAGGACTTTTGGCTTTTTAGCTTTTTTGATTTGTTTGTGAGAGAAGAGTGTAATGATTATGGGTTAGATGAGATGTTTTGTCTGTTGTGGCTCATGAGCCTATTCTGTCTTCTATGGCTCATTGAGCCAAAAAAGCCCAATGAGCCCTTGCCAAACCAACCCGAAAGTTTTTTTTTTTTCTTTTTTTGAAAAAGAAATTTTTTTCAAAATTTATTTTCTTACTTACTATTTTTCGTATTATTTGTCTTTAGTAAATTATTTTCATATTTTAGTTATTCTTTATTTACTTTTTAAATGCAGATAATTTAAATTCACATAAATGTAAAATATGTGTAAGGAAATTTGAAATTTTTTTTTACTAAAAATAAAAAAAGTGCTGAATTTTTTTAAAAATATTTTTTGTATTTAGTAACTTTTTAAAAAGATTTCTGGGAAGTGGGTTGGCTTTTTGGCTTTTTGACTTTTTTGGCTATTTTAGCCTTGGCTAAAAAGTTTGGTTTGGGAAGAGCTTTTTGACTTTTTGACTTTTTTGACTTTTTTTGTGAGAGAAGAGTGTAATGATTATGGGTTGGATGTGATGTTTTGTTTGTTGTGGCTAAAATAGCCTATTTTGTCTTTTGTGGCTATTTTAGCCCCATTTACTTTTTAAATGCAGATAATTTAAATTCACATAAATGTAAAATATGTGTAAGGAAATTTGAAATTTTTTTTTACTAAAAATAAAAAAAGTGCTGAATTTTTTTAAAAATATTTTTTTGTATTTAGTAACTTTTTAAAAAGATTTCTTCACATAATTTACTTTACAGCTACATTTAGATTATGTGTTTCCAAAAAGTAAAAAGAAAAAAAAAACTTTTAGATACACTTAAAAAATAAAATTTAAAATGGAAAAAAATTCAGTATTGTGGTTTCTCTTCCTGCTTTTGGTTACTTTTTTTTTTTTAATATATAAATACTATACTTTTTAAATGTATCTAAATTAGATTAGATACATCTAAAAAGTAAAAGAAAATTCACCTTGTTTGGTTTTGATTTATTTTTTGAAAATTGAGTTTTTTTATTTTTTGTTTTTATTTTTAGTGAATTTTTTAAAATATTTTAAGTAATTTTTTTACTTTCTAACTTTGATGAACTTAAAAACTAAAATATTTGTGAAAAAATATTTTAAAAATTCAATAAATATACAAGAATACAAAAGCATACTGAATTTTTATATTTTTTTGCATTTTTTTATATTTGATGAATTTTTTAAAAGATTTTTCTACAAATATTATACTTTTTCAATATATCTAGGTTAAATATATCTAAAAAAATTAAAATATTAAAAACTTGGGTAAATTATAAATACACCTCCTGAGATTTGATTAAAATACGAATCGTCTCCTGTGATTCTGAAAATTACATTCCACTTCTTGAGATTTCTAATTTCATAACAAATCGCCCATTCTATTAATAAAATATCAAGTCAATTAATAATTTTTAATGATATTAGAAATATGTTTCAATTAATAATTTAAGTAATTTTATTATTGTATAAGAGAATAATTATGAATTTCATTTTTTTAGTTACTTCTGTTAAATAAAAAATTATAACAAGAGGGGTATTTGTAATTTTTTAAATCATATGAGGTAATTTGTACTTTAAGCAAACTTCAGGAGATGTATTTGTAATTTATCCTAAAAATAATATATATATGTGAAAAATAAAATATTCAATTTTTTGAAAAATAGGTTTCATTTTCTAAAACTAAACAAGTTATTGTTTTTAAAAATCACTAATAATGAACAAATTCAAAAACTGTTTTAAAAAAAAAAATTTGATATATTGATATTTAAAAGTCTCCAGTGGGTAACTTTAATCCGTTTAATAATTTTAGTGTGTGTGTACGTGTGTCCGTGACTGACTGATCTACTACTTGGGGTGTGTGGTGGAGCATTTTTGAATCAATTTATGGTTTTTGATTTTTAAAAAGTTATTTTGACTGTTTAGTTAAATTTATTTCAAACAGTTTTTGATTCTAACAATTTATTTTAAGTCAAAAAAGTTGATTCTGAGAAGCTGCTCACCCTTGCTTCTGATTATCAACTTCTGCTGTGGACATGTTAATTCACGGTTATACTCTTCGATTTTTTTATTTTTTATTTTTTTAAAAATAAAAAAAGACCCAAATGAACTATAGAATATTATTATTATTTTTTATGAGAAATATAGACAAATAATGAATAATAAAAAATAAAAATTAATTGAAAAGGCTACTTCACAATTTATTTAACAAATATTATTTAACAACTTAAATTTATAATCTAACAGTTATATTAAATAAATTAACAATTCCTAATTAAAATCATAATTTATAATCTATTAAATTATAATTTATAACATGTTTTAACAACTCCACCAAACAGGACCACTGTTCTAAACTTTTGTATGACTTCCCCATAAATGTTGACTGTTGACTATGGAAATGGATATGTTGCAGCGTTATATGACTGAGTCATGATAGAAACGAGCAAGGATCCTCTAAAGTAATTTTTTTCTAAAGTTTCCTAGAGTGTTACATTGTGTGGTTGAGATTTACTAGCAAGTCACATCAATTTTTCTGATGTGACTTGCCAATAAATCTCAACCACACAATACAGCACTCTAGGAAACTTTAGGGAAATTTCACTCTAGAGGATCCTTGGTGGATAGAAACCCCCTCTAATTACTACCCCCAGACATGTGGCGGGTGGTGATTGGAGGAGCAGGAAAAAAAAGAAAAAAGAAAAAGAAAATGTAACCAATAAGAGAGAGAGAGGGGGTCAAAGGGGGTGGGGGAAAAAGGGGGTATGAAACATTTTTAAATCATAGGAGGCAATCTGTACTTTAAGCAAACTTCAGGGGATGTATTTGTAATTTATCCTAAAAAATTTAACTAAAAATAATATATATATATATATATATATATATATGTGAAAAATAAAATATTCAATTTTTTGAAAAATAGGTTTCATTTTCTAAAACTAAACAAGTTATTGTTTTTAAAAATCACTAATAATGAACAAATTCAAAAACTGTTTTAAAAAAAAAAATTTGATATATTGATATTTAAAAGTCTCCAGTGGGTAACTTTAATCCGTTTAATAATTTTAGTGTGTGTGTACGTGTGGCCGTGACTGACTGATCTGGGGTGTGTGGTGGGGTTTTTTTGAATCAGTTTATGATTTTTGATTTTTAAAAAGTTATTTTTGATTGTTTAGTTCAATTTATTTCAAACAGTTTCTGATTCTAACAATTTATTTTAAATCAAAAAAGTTGATTCTGAGAAGCTGCTTACCCTTGCTTCTGATTATTAACTTCTGCTGTGGACATGTTAATTCACGGTTATACTCTTAGATTTTTTTATTTTTTATTTTTTTAAAAATAAAAAAAGACCCAAATGAACTATAGAATATTATTATTACTTTTTATGAGAAATATAGACAAATAATGAATAATAAAAAATAAAAATTAATTGAAAAGATTACTTCACAATTTATTTAACAAACACTATTTAACAACTTAAATTTATAATCCAACAGTTACATTAAATAAATTAACAATTTCTAATTAAAATCACAATTTATAATCTGTTAAGTTATAATTTATAACCTGTTTTAATAACTCCACCAAAGAGGACCACTGTTCTAAACTTTTGTATGACTTCCCCATAAATGTTGACTGTTGACTATGGAAATGGATATGTTACAGGGTTAAATGACTGAGTCATGATAGAGAACCCTCTAATTTATCTTTTTTCTTTTAGAGTCTAGTGTCAGAGGTCATTCTTTTGTGGCGAGGCTTTTTTCGTTGATGATTTTTTTTAAGGTCTCTGATATTAAGATTTTATAACATAAAGAACATCTAATATTTTCATGATGTCCAAGATCCCTCAACATCGATCCAAAGAATTTCTCTGGACTTCTTAGAAAAATTCTCTCTCTCTAGACTTCCCACTCTCTAAAGAAATTCCTAACTCAAGCCTTTATCATCTTCTTTCTGTAGAGAAATTCTGAGAAGTCTGGAGAAATTTCTCTACAGAGAAGTTTTGGACTTTCTAGAGAAATTCCTAACTCAAGCCTTCATCATATCTTCTTTCTCTACAGAAATTCTAGGAATCCAAAAAATTTCTTTGGACTTCTCATTCTACAGAGAAATTCTGGAATCCAGAGTGGACTTCCCACTCTCCAGAGAAATTCCTAACTCAAGCCTTCATTATCTTCTTGAATTTTTCAAAATTAATACATCCATTGCCATCAACATCAACAGACTCGATCATCTTCAAACAATCTCTCCATGAGCACTTCTCTCCCAAGCTTTTCAACACAATGTGCAATTTTTTTGCCGATATCAATCCATTCCCATCCTGATCGTACAAATCGAACACATAGCAAAGCTCTTTGCTACTGCTCTCATCATCGTCGTCCGATCCTTTCCGATGAAAATCGATGAACTTGTGGAGATCAATGAATCCATCGTCGTTGCTGTCGATCTCCGACATTACTCATTGGACTTCCTCAGGAGAAGTATTGGAACCAAGTGCACTGAGGACCACTCGGAGGCAGAGATCTTTCCGTTGCCATTGGCGTCAAACTTTTTGAACACTTTTGCTACTTCTTCCATGTTGCCTAGCGTCGTCACTGAATGTTTACTGTTGCTTGAATCCTTCGCCATCGTAGTGATGGAGAAGAAAAGGAAGAGAGAGAACTTGAATTCACCAGTTGCTTCAGATTCAACATTCGAGTTATGCATTCTGCAAATCAAAGTCATGTATAAATGAATGAATATATTAGATCGATAGATCTAGAGAGAGAGAGAAAGAAAGATACCAATCTATCTTTGTCGGAGATTGAGTGCCATGGTTGAAAGAGTCAAATTTCTCTGTGATATATGGGTGTGGGGGGTGTAGGGTTAAGGAATTTTAGACATCATAAAATAACATTATGAATCTCTTACATTATTAAAAATGGGAAAGGGACCTTAGACTAATTTTCTCTTTTCCATTATGTTGTTAGGAATTTTGTGTGAAAATATTATTCCTAGAAAAAAAAGAAGTAAAGTAAAATGAAAGAGTGAAGTATATTGTTGAGATTACAACAAAGTCTACATATTTTTTGCAATACATGTTTTGGGGGAAAATAAATCCTAGTGGGAAAGTTAAAAATATTAATCTCACAACTTTCATGCTAAATGAATATGAAAAAATGGATTAATTATACTTTTCATTTTTATAGTTTTATTCAAATTTCATTATTGAATAGTTTGGTCTCTATATTTTAAATATAGTTTCATTTTAGTGTTTCTATTGAAATTAGAGGTTAAAGTTAATGATTTTAGGACACTTGTCAATCTCCTAATATGTATATGTAGAAAAATTAATATTTGGAGAAGATGAACAAATTGAAACTAAATTTAAAATGTAAAGATCAAATTGTTTAATTTGAAATCGTATAGATCAAAGTGAAATTTGAATCAAATTACAAAAATACAAATGTAATTTAACTACACAGGCACAAAAAAAAGAAAAGAAAAAAAAAAAACCAATAGCTTCTCATTTACATTTTTAGTTTTATTCAAATTTCATTATTGAATAGTTTGGTCTCTATATTTTAAATATAGTTTCATTTTAGTGTTTCTATTGAAATTAGAGGTTAAAGTTAATGATTTTAGGACACTTGTCAATCTCCTAATATGTATATGTAGAAAAATTAATATTTGGAGAAGATGAACAAATTGAAACTAAATTTAAAATGTAAAGATGAAATTGTTTAATTTGAAATCGTAATCAAATTACAAAAATACAAATGTAATTTAACTACACAGGCACAAAAAAAAAAAAAAAACCATAGCTTCTCATTTACATTTTCATAGCTACCTTCTTTATTTTTAATTAATTTGCTGCCTTTTCTTTTACCATTAAATAATGGAAAAATGCAATCAATTGCGTGTAATCTATCAATTCATGATCATGGTAATTTTTTGGGGGGGTTTTTTACACACCTTTTGAGTCGTGGAAACACATAAAATGCATGAACACAAAGTTTGTATCTATCAACTTGGATAACTTCCAAAAATGTGGTTATTTTAATAACAACCATTAAAGTTTCAAAATTCTTATCTTAATGTATCAACTCATTTGAAAAGAAAAAAGTTAACAATCTTCAAATTGGCCTTATAATAAAGAAAGAAAGTTGTAGTAACATGGGAGGGAGGTCATGAGCTTCGCGTGACTATTTTTTGTGAACTTTTTTTGAGTGTAAAGTTAGATTATTTTTAGTCATCAAAGTCAAACTAGTGAAGTTGATTTATCTTCTAGTTTATTAAAGAACATTATTAAATCATTTACCCAAGGAAGAAATAATTATGGGTTTCTTGAAAGTTAAATCATTATTGTGGACCACTTTTTTTTTTTTTGAATTAATTACGCTAAAGTCTCTCAGGCTTCGATTAATTTTTTAGCTTTTTAATTTTTTATCTATTTTAATCTAGATTAAAAAGTTTTATTTGGGTTAAGTTTTTTTAATTTTTTTGACTTTTGTGAGAGAAAAACTAAAATGATTATGATTTAAATGTGATATTTTATTTTATTAAATTTTTAGTCTATTTTATCTTTTTGTGACTATTTTAGCCCCTAAATTTGACATGCCAAATGAGGGCTCAATTATTAATGAGTATTCCTTTATGAATCTATACATATTGATTTTTCAATTATAAAATTGTACAAATATACCCATTTTAGAGATGGTTTGAAGGGATTTACAAGGTGAAAGTGATATATTTTTATAATTGATGGTATTAAAATGTATGGATTCATATGTAATCAGGAGTAAAGTGATATTTGCTTAATAGTTGAAGTGGCTTTAGTGTAAATATTCCTTTCTTTTTTAGACTAGTTATAAACTCTTAAAATATCATATTTTATCCATATTGACGAGGTTGGGTGTGTTTGATTTTTTTTTTTGAAGATAGATCTTATTTGATTGATTCTTAAACAAATTAATAATGACATAACGATTATCTCATGACTTAAACATTTTTTTATGGGGTATTTTTTTTAAGGTTCCTGATATTATGATTTTATAATATAAAGGACATCAAATATTTTTATGATGTCTAAGGTCCCTTAACAGGATCCAGAGAAATTTCAGGCCTAGAGAAATTCTCTTCAGAGAAAATTGAAATCCAGAGAAATTTAAGTTCCAGAGAAATTCTCTCCAGAGAAAATTGAAATCCAGAGAAATTTAAGTTCCAGAGAAATTCTCTCCAGAGAAAATTGAAATCCAGAGAAATTTAAGTTCCAGAGAAATTCTCTCCAGAGAAAATTGAAATCCAGAGAAATTTAAGTTCCAGAGAAATTCTCTCCAGAGAAAATTGAAATCCAGAGAAATTTAAGTTCCAGAGAAATTCTCTCCAGAGAAAATTGAAATCCAGAAGCCGTGGTCGACAAGCTCTGGCTAAGATGACAACTGCAATCGACAAGCTCTGATCGGTCTTCTGAGCTGTCGTCCGACTGATCATCCAGCAAGACGACTGAATGCACAATTTCTATATTCGGATCTGCGTTCGGCCCTCTATGAACCTAGACTTTCTAATAAATTATAAGCCTCACTTAAGTCTAGAAGACATCAATGAGAGTCTTAAAATCTTTGAATTTATTATTTGGTTCAAAATTTGTGTTACTCAAATTTTTTTTCCTTTTTCAAATCTTTTGACAAATCATCTACTAGCATTATTGTACATGAAGGGAAAGATATTCATATTACCTAAAATAGAAACAATTTTGGACCGGATGACTTAAATTACGAGTCTCGTCTGAAAAACCCTCCATCAAATGAGAAGCTACTAGAGTTCCTTAATATTATATCCACACTCCAAATTCTTAGATTTAACTATGATAACCCATGAAAGAAGAACAAAGAGAGAAATTTTTCTGCAAGAGATTTTTCAGGTAAATTCACATGTAGGAAAAATCTCTATAAATAGGAGTGGTGTTGTAATCTTCTACCACAACTCAATAACCTTCAAAAGATAATCCATTAATTATTTTATTTATTAAATAGATGAATTGTAACAATTCTAATAAACGCTTCATGAGTAATGGGTCGGTGAAATCCGCCCAATTTCCAAACCGTACATATTCAAATTAGCATTCAATAAACAATCTAAAACATGCGTAGCATATATTGGAGATGTATGATTTTTTATTTTTTATTTTTGGTTATGTAGTGTATTTTGGGTCAGCTTACGTGAATTAGACTAAATTTTTACATTCCAAACATGCTTTTTGAAACAGGATTTACGTCCTACGATCCTTGGTCCCAAGGTATAAATTTACTGATTAGGAGATTCGAACCTAAAACTTAAAAAGGAACAAATCTTAAAACCCTAATCATTACCCACTAGATCAACCCCTGTAATTATGTATTTAAATAAACTTATGAAGAAAAGTGAAAACGTATAATAATAGTCTATGTGTCTTTAAGGCATGCATGTACTGACAAATCAATGATATGACATTTTATTATTAGTAACAAATCTTGAAATCATTGCTAATGGTATTGAAAAGACATCAAATTATTCATTGTTAATCACTATTAAACCTTAATCGGCACCAAAACGTGCAAGTCATGCTACAATAAAGGGAGATTCCTTTATTTATTTATTTATTTATTTATAAATTGCAAATCACTAAACAATTAGGTAAATAATTACAAATTAATGGAGATGCAAATGAGTATGCATTCAAGTGTAAGTGAAAGTAACATCCTGTGACATTCTATGTTTCTATATATTAGTGATAACGCGTGTGATGCACGGCAAAATAACTCATATATATTTTGTGTGATAAATAAATTATCTTAAACTTGAATTATATTTTAATGGCAACAAATCCTGATGTTAGGCTATCCTAGTAGATGTGAACAATAATTAACTCACAAAGTTTCACAATAAAATTTGATATGCATAAAAAATTATTAATTATAAATATTATTGGAGGTAATAGTACCGCAATTACTTGATAACATAACCAAGTTGCATCAAACTATAGTCCCATGCAGGGGAAAAAAAACACAAAACACTAAAAGGGAAAAATTCTATAGACTCATAAAAGTTATCATAAATTTACACTTTTAAATCAAAGAAACTCTATAAACTCATAAAAGTTATCATAAATTTATATTTTTAAAGTAGTGGTGTATATTATTATTGTGGGATCAAATTTTGAATAAATCTCAACCTTTAATTATAATTTCTAAGAGCATCTCCAACATTTACTTTTTTTTTTTATTATCAAATTTGAGTAAAAATTTCATTTGATATCGAACGTTCTAACGGAATTTTTTTTTTTCATGGATGTTCGGTCCATCAACTAGTTAGTGTAAATATACGGGAAGTCTAAGCAAGAACGAGGTTGTCTGGGAAGACAATCGGCCGGCCATCCAATGTATGGTCCCTACGGCTATTGATGAACGGCTCCAACCATTCTCAATTTGATGAACA